CATCAGTCGACATCAGGAATAAAGTCTCGTAACTCCAGGCTATGTACTGTACAGGCCCGCAAATGATCCCAGGACCGCAAATGATCCCGGGACCGCAAATGATCCCCGAATAGGACCGCAAATGATCCCGGACCGCAAATGATCCCGGACCGCAAATGATCCCGATACTGGATCGCAAATGATCGCGCAATAATATACGGAATGGTTTGGAGTGGGGGAATCCTATAAATACTTTTACTTATGTATTTTCAACTTCAACTCAAATCGTATTTAGAATAATGTGAACTTCATTTTCAATTCTGATTATAACAGAAATAAAAAAAGAGCAAATGTGTATACGGATACATTATATGTCTAAAGTCAAAATCGAACTGTATATATCGTTGTTAACATTTGATCTATAAAACATTGGTTAAAACTCTCTTGTTATAACTTGAAAAATGAAACATGTTTCGATTGTAAATTGAACGTATGTTTCAAGAAAAATCATTCAAAAAATTATTAGCAATTAACAAGTCAAGTGTCGGTGATCAAGTGTCAAAACAACAACAATTTGAAACGTGTTCTTTCAGGTGCAATCGCAGGGAGCCCGGCTTTATGAACCTCGTTGATCTTAGCGGGTTAATGGATAATTCACTTTGCTCTTCTTTCTATGGGTTTAATGTGTTTAGATCGGTTTCATGTTAAAATAAACTGTAAACCGATCTCTATGACGATTAAGTATTGTTTCTTCAAAATTTTATGCATCCTGGCTATTTATGACAGTAGCCACAATGGTTCATTTCAGCGCCTATTAAAGCTGAAAGACTTTTGCTTTAAACATGTGCGAGCTACCACAACTGAGTTGGAATGCGAATATTTTCTTCAGTCGACTTATGAACCTACCTCTTTCTTTTTCTCTATCCTTTTAAGTCTATCTAAGTCTTTTTTTCGTTTTTTCATTGTCATCATCCCCAGCAAATCCTCTTGAAATTATTAGAACTAAGAGCAAAACAGTCGCAAGTATTCGAACCATGTTGACACTGACAGTTCGTAGCACTGCAAGCATGTCAACAAAGGAAGCCCAAGCAATGAGATTTTTTATCATTAGAATTGAAGAGATTTTAAACATGTTAAATGTATACAGATACATAATAATTAAATGCTTCGAAATATATTCACATATAAACATCTGGAAAGTTGTGATACAGCTTGCATACAACCTATATTTCATTATTATTATCTTCCCGTTTTTTTAAATAAACAAAAGAACTGTAAATCGTATTTTATTTTGAAACACAACGTTTGTCACAATAATTACCTATGTTGAGGATTCCCCCACTCCAAACCATTCCGTATATTATTGCGCGATCATTTGCGATCCAGTATCGGGATCATTTGCGGTCCGGGATCATTTGCCATCCTATTCGGGGATGATTTGCGGTCCCGGAATCATTTGCGGTCCTGGGATCATTTGCGGGCCTGTACAGTACCAATTTGCATTTTTTCCTTCCGAAATTAGGTCATTTTTTGGGCTTCAAAAATAGGCAAAAAATACATAATATTCAAAATTCGGTAAAATATTGAGTTTTGTTCCAAGTGAAACCAGTAACCCACCAAAATAATAAGCAATTATATGTCTTTAGGGCTGGACTTTC